CGTTTTCTATATAATTCCTGTATAATAATATAATAATAACAGATAATGTGAAAATACTGTTGCACATGAATGCGCATATAAATGTGGAACTCTGTAACAAGTTTACTGGATGTATATCTGTTGTAACTTACAGAAACCAATCAGAAGTCATATTCCAATAGTAAGAGTTTAATCAACTGAAATTGAGTTTTTACTTTAGGTTCCAGCACTTTGTACCCCGTTATTGCTGTCTCCACTGCTTTAATGTGAAATTTATCACATACCATTTTGAAAAAAAAAATATTTCAGATGGTCACTTATGATCACTTTCTGTCTTTTAATGAAGATCATTTTCCATGATCAGTATGACTTATGGATACAGATTGTGAACCTGTTGAAGGAAAGTTTGTTATATTGATACATAAAATATTTCAGCATTTTTGGTTACAATAAGGCTGGTGCAGTAGTACACTGCACATGTTACAAACTTTGCTGAATAAAACAAAGTATACTATATTTAATACAGAATTAATAGTCCAGTGTTTTTTTTTTCTAAATATGTATAAGGACATAATTAAAACTTCAGTGGAAGGAAAGTTTTGTGATACAAAGAAAAAACCTTAGCACATCCAGATGGAGCGTTAGTTCTTGGCACCAATCCCTGTGTTACTGCCAGCACCACCTCTCTATCTCAGTGTGCAGCTAAGTTATTTTCCATTGTGGGCACCTAAATGCAATTATTAACAAAGGCCATCAACTAGCAATCTGCTCAATATTAGCAACATGCTCTATTTATTAAAATGAGAACATTACCTTAATAGATTTAAGAACAGAAGATAGACATTACAGACTCTAGAAATAAAGTGAGCTTTGCCCATTAGTGAAAGGCTTTTAATCAACTAGGTGATCTAAACATCTTTTAAATAATCTTCATTTCCGTCAGCCCTGAGGAATCAAACCTTCAGAGCTGGGCTATTAAATAAAGGACTTAAAACCCCAAAAGTACAGAATATTTATTTATTTTAACTACTGATACACAGTATGAATAAATAAGAACAAGAAATCTATGAAAAATGTTACATACTTAAGTCTCAATTCACAAAGATTTAACACTGGGATAAAGATCTTTATTTTAACTATGTTACTTTATTTTTAGGCCTGATTCTACTCTGAAAATAACTGTATTTTTTGTTTAACTAAAGATCCTTATCCTTGTTGAAATAAGCCAATTGCCCTATAAAATAGTACAATGAATAGTGACCTAAGATGTACGAAGAAAAAAGCAAAGTGATAGATATCAGGTCTATTCCGACCATAATTCTTTTAGGCCATGCAAGCTGCAACTCAAGGTAGCAAATATTCAGTGGGGCAGAAAGTTGTTGCCTATTCAAAGTAACACTAAACACAGGAGTTAAACCTTAAAAACACATTCAAGTAGCTTAACTATTAACAAAAATGTTAATTATTTGGGTATCACTGAGCTGTAGATCCTCAAATCATCTCTGAATTGGTGCTGACACTGTCCTTCCTTCTGAAAGGTGGCTACTGTTGTTCCCCATGGTCCCTGTGTGTGTTGTAAAGTAGCCACCACTCCAAGCTTGCTCCTGTAATGGACTACAATCTCACATTTAGTTTATTAATTTGTATTGAAGCTATAGTCTATCACGGGGGTGAGCTTGGAGTGACTACTTTACAACACACACTGGGGCCATCGGGAACAGAGGTAGACACCCTCCAGAAGGAAGGACAGTGTCAGTACCAATTCAGAGATGATTTGAGGAACTACATGGGAAATGGGAAATGCTAACACTGGCTCAGTGTATATTTAAGCATGTAAATTAAGCAGGGGCAGGAGGGGTAGCTGCCTCAGGTGCAGTATTTTCACATAGGGAGAGAGGTGCTGGACCTCTGGATCCTGGGTCCCCAGCTCTGGCTTTCTGTTAGCTGACTGAGTGTGTAGACATCAGTGTCATTTATTTTAGTTACCACAGTAATAGTGGCAGAAGCAGAAGCAGCATACAGGTCTGCTGGAGGAGGAGAAGGGAGCAGGAAGCATGCCTTGAGCGCCACTATTAACCCCTCCCATTTCCTCATCCCCAATTTCAAATTCTAAAAGTCCTCAGGTATGCTCATCACATGCATACCCTGCCTTTCACTGGCCAGTCCTTAACACAACACATGTTAACATTTAACATACAAAATACACAGGTTAATGCATGAAATACACACATTACCTTGCATGTGTTAACACGTTGGAATGAAACAGCCAAGTGTAAAGGGGGCCATATTCTAATGCTCACAGTTACATACATTACATATCGCTTTTGACTTAACCCTTTTATTGACCTGATTCTAAATTTTAGCAATTACAAACTGCTATGCTGGGGCGTCCCATGGCGTGGTGTCACCCATGTGGCCACCGGGTCACACCCCGCCATGAGATCATTACCCATGTGCATGACTTGAACACGCACGCACGTGATGATGCCTGTGGCCATCTTAGTGATGGACGCCAGTGCCAAAAGAGAGAGGAGGGGACATTCACCCAGCGGGATAAGGTATGGCGCCGGGTCTTCGCCTCTCTTGTGCAACTTTTCAGAAGAGGTGACACCAAAATGACTGTCAGTCATTTTGGTGTCACCCCCTCCAATTGTGTCACCCGGGTGCGGGCTGCACCCCGCACCTCCCTAGTGACCCCGCTGCTGCTATGAGTTTTGTTATAGATCAACATCTAGTTAATTATGCCATGTATTATTGTTTCATATCTTAAATAAAGCTCCAGTTATAGAACTGGTACACACACCATTTTGTAATTTACAGGTCTATTCACAAAAGGGTAAAGAGTTTGGAGAAGACAGGAGAAGTGATCAATCTAGGACAACATAGCTGATTTGGAAAATTTCTCCCATTCAGCTCACTTTCCAGTTCAGCTATGTTCTAGATTGTTCACTTCTCCTACCTTCTCCAAACTCTCCACCCTTTTGTAAATTAGGCCTCATTCAGGCAGGGTGTACACGTCTGTGTGGTGCGCACGCCCTTAAATGGGCCAATCCCGGGAGGGACAGGTGCTGCGTGTAATTGCATGCAGCAGACTGTTCTTCCCTATGGGAGGACGTGGCTGTACGCTGTCATCCGTGCGAGTCCGGGTTTCCGCACTTCGATGTAGACAGTGTGTGTCCAAGTATGGTCACCGGGACCCCAGCACTGATGTGCAAGTTTGGGTGTGCAGACGACAGCATACAGCCGCGCCCTCCCATAGGGAAGAACAGGCTGCTGCGTGCAATTACACGCAGCACCTGTCCCTCCCAGTATACGTCCGTTCACGGGCGTGCATCCTTTTTCAATCTCCAAACACTGTCGTTTTTGAAAACCAACAAAGCTCTAATTTATCTTCCTCGCAGTATGGCAAACTGGATGCGTGTGCCCAGAAATGTACCGGCTTTGTGATTAGCTTACTGTGATTCTCAGAAGTTTGCGAAAAAATGTTAGGCAAATTGCAGGCCTCCCCTGTAATAGGAATTCATATTTGGTGTTGTAGTCTTGACCACTTCTACAGGGATGCAGACCCTGCAGCTTTCCTTATTACAACACTGAAATATCATCAGGTGGTTATAATGAAGATTGATTCTCCCAGTTAGAAATCAGTTATAGAAAGGATGTGTTGAGCCAGACAGCGATCTCCTTATTAAACAGAAAGGAATACAGCTTTGAAAATCCTTGCAATGTATAAAGTTTACCTGGAGGGGATTGGAATTGGACATTAAACATGCAGCCTAACTGTGTCTGTCTATCTTTTAGGCCTTACCAGTGTGGGCACTGTTCCCAGTCCTTTTCCCAGCCATCGGAATTAAGGAATCATGTCGTCACCCACTCCAGTGATCGACCTTTCAAGTGTGGCTACTGTGGCAGGGCATTTGCTGGTGCTACCACATTAAACAACCACATCCGTACTCACACAGGGGAAAAACCTTTTAAGTAAGTAGATTTGCTGATTAGAGTATTGACATCAACATACCATACACAGTACCTGGTGGATCTTCTTAGCTTCCCAACCTGTCTGGGATGGGAACAGACATTTATCTGTACAAAGGATAGCTGGATTTAGTACACCTCACAAGGATTTAAGTACACGTATTGTAGAAAACCAATGATTTTGAGGAGATCTAATTAATATGATTATGGAGAATATAAAAGAACGTTCTAATTAGCTATCCGCCCTTATGACTGTGCACATGACAAGGGGACATCTCTGTAGACCTAAAGAGAGGTCACCTTATGACTAGCAAAGAAAGGGCTTCTTTAGTGTCAAAGTGACCAGATTCTGAACATGTATTACAAAAACAAAGGCATGGCTACAAATATATATTATTTTTATATCTTTATTATATCTTATTAGGCAATTGTCATCTCTAACTAAAAAAAATAGTGACCTTCATTAATGTAGTCATTGATGAAGGAAATTAATCTGATTGCCAATAATATTGTCAAAATGTATTTTCTCTACTGTGAGGATATATTGTTAGTGTCCCTACCAGAGACTTGTTTTGCTGTCTTCTGAGCAATACTATTAGCTCACTATTAGAATGAGAAAATATTGAGCCTGATAAACCTCTTTAGCTTTGCTATGCTGTAATGTTAATTGTTTATGTAAAGGTCACTTGTATAGTATTACCGATACAGTAATGGTGCTAATATCTCTATAGTAGAAGAGCCATAAGCCTGGTTGCCCTTCTACTATAGAGATGTTAGCACTATTTCTGTATGCCTCGCTGATTGCCCATTTTGCATAGTGTAGTTGCCTGGCTGTCATGTTGATCCTGTTGCTTCAATACTTTAAATCACAGACCCAGAACTGAGTGTACAGGTAAGGATTTCTAACCTTCCTAATTTGCATGTTTGTTCCAAGTCAGTGACTCAAAACATTTTAAAGCTAGAGGTTCAGCCTAACAGCCAGGCAAGTAGCATTTTCAGAATTGCAGCCCCATATTTCTCTGTGAAAAGTTTACTTGAAAGCAGTTAAAATAATTAGTACAATGTCACTACTGAATACACAGCCAGGCGCACAGGATTAGTTCACCAACACAGGCCTCATAGCTGAAGGGAAACAAGTATATAATAATCCAAATTAGTCTCCCCCCACACCCCTTGTCAGCTAAGAGTGACACTATTCAATGACCTTCCCTGATAAAATAAAACATATGCAATTTAATTTTAGTGGTCGCCTTATTTTTTTTGCAGTGGCACATAGGTTTTCTACTATTTACAAGTCTCTTTACTGTATTTACAGGTGGGAGACTGTGATGAATAGCCCCCATTAGTGTCTGTTGTTGGGAGAAATGGAAAAAGCAATGTTAAAAAATCCTGCTAGATACATAATTGATTTCCCCTGACTGCTGTGTATATAGATTTTAGTAATTAATTGAAGAGGTTCTGAGGTCAAAATGGAAAATAGATTTATTTTAATGTTTAGGTTTTACATATCTGTTACCCTGTTTACTCAATGATTCTTTTCTGTTTTATCATTTTTGTGCACTTTGTGCTAAATATGAAATACAAATTAATACAGCAACTTTTTAAATTAATCTTCCACATTACCAGTTGACTTGGACGGTCTCTTACGCTACTGAAATATAAAATTATGAGTGGGTTTATGAACTCATTTGTCATTGCCAGCCCTGAATACATATTAAAATCAACTACTGAAGGAAGATAAGTTTCCAGTATGAGCTGCAATTTTCAAACGGTCAACCAGTGATTAGGGTGGTAGAGATCTACCCTACTTTTATGCTTATTTAATAAGAGTGTGAAGTAGAAAGCTATGTGCTGATTGACTTCACAGCCAATTATATGACTCTAGTCTGATCTGTAAAAGACAAATTCTTATGAGTTCTTATGAGTTAGTTCATGTTGCAATGCCCTATTAAAGCAAACCTTTGGCCTGAATATAAGTAGTAAGTCACCATTGTGATTTTTTGTAGAGAATCCTAGGAGCAAAGCTGTCTATCACAGAAATGGGCCAGTACTGAGGCATAGGAGGAGGGGTCGGAACATATCAGGTGATCACAGAAGCTTGTAGCTATTTGCGCAATATAGTGTCCTAATTTCTTTTGTTCAGGCAAAGATCTATAGCAGTGGTTCCCACCACTTGCGTACCCCCTGGCAGTCCATTTGTACCCCTCAGTGGGGGTGGTGCTAATAGTGAAGCATGTTGTGTGCCGTGCTGAGTGCTCAGTGTGGCCAAATTGCATACACAATAGGAGGGGTTAAAATGCCACTGTGTCTATGTCAGTGGGATGAAAAGGGGAGCTGGGGTGCGGGGCTCTTTGGGATATGCCATATAGCAGTGATGTGTCCAGTGTTATCTTGGGGGGCTCTTTGGGGTGCGGTCTGTGACACTGGATTACCTGGATCTAGGTTTCCTTGCACTTAAGAGAAGTAAAGGGCACATTGCTCAGCCTGAACTATAGAATAAGTGTGCAGATAGCTCTGCTTCTCAGGATTTCAGACCTTCTGCACACATTTCTCACTTCCCACTGCCATCGCCTTCTGCTATTACAAAAATATTTTCAAGTACCCCTAAGCCCTGGGGGTACTTGTACTTGTGCTGATCTATAGGATTGGGCAAGCACATGAAAATGTTTGCTATTCAAATTAAGAGGCAGTTAAATACATCTTTTCAGCCTAGAAATATAATCTTACTTCCATTCAGTGCATAGGGACATTTCAACTAATTGCAGATCTTGAGGAAATCTCAAACACCCAAAATATCTCAATCTGCGTACCTTGAGAATACTTTGTTCACCAGGAATACTCCCATACCATCTCTGCTATAACTGGGGCAAAAACTGGGACCGGATAACACTTTGGTAACCATGGCCCACGCTGTGTAAATGCAGTATTTGCAGGCTTTACCTAATAAATATGAAGTAACAATATATTCATACTAGTTCTTTTTTGTACAATTAAAAAGGAGTGTTATTTCTACACAGTTAAAGAGCATCTAATCCCTAATTCAAAAATGTAATATATTGCAGCTTGCCGGTCTTTGATTTGGTGGCTGCATTTGGATTATTTTTTCAGGCTTTGTTTTAGTTATTTAGTTATTTTCACCTGGTAGTCCTGTTGGAACTCGCTTCTATTCCTAGAATGACAACACTTACTCTTCTGTATCCAGACAACAAAAACAAGATTGGACGATGGAACTCCGTCCTCTGCTATTCTCCATAACAAAAAGGGGAGTAGTTTTGTAGTTCTTGGAGTTAGCTTAGAACAATTTAATTGATAACAGTCACCACAGGCAGAGAGCTCAGGATGTAATCGACGCACAACATTGTTGGCAAGATCAACAGGTATTTTTGAACTTATCAAACAGATATAGGAAGCTCTTTTAATGGTATATTTAACAGACCAAAAGGGATCAAATAAAAAAGTTAACTGTTAGGATTTACATACACATAAACCATCTTGTTGCCGCTGCCAGAAAGCTTACAGTGGCAGCAGCATGGCCCTATAAACAGACTCCAGACTGCTATAGCAACCGGAAGTTTGTTTATGTTTGTACAGTTGATTGCCAGGTATCAACTGGATGTGACTGGCAGCCATCCATTCACTGATCGTGCTTGCAGTGAGTGAACCCAGAACCGACAGGCTATGGTTGGGGAAGAAACTAATCAAGCTTAATATGCGCTTGATTAGTTTCACTGGAGTGCAAAATAAAAATAGGAGTCTAATAGACTCCTAATGTCTTCTTAAGGAGAACAAATCACTTCCAATGTGCTAACATTAAAGTTAGGTTAAAAAAAGGTTTAAAAAAATTAAATTTAAATAATATAAATTAAAATTGTTTTTATGTCCCTTGACAATTGCATAAAACATGTTAGGTATCGTCTATGCCAGAGTGAGAACATAGGATCTAGGGCCATCATTCACTATTAACACTAACATTATGACTTGTAAAGGCTTTTAAAGTATCACGTATCCCGTATTGGCAATTTTGGGTACCATAGTTTTTCACAATTTCACAGGCGCACACAATTTTCAGGCTTGACATATTTGGTACCTTTTTTCTTGATGGTTCCTCATCTTTTATACTTTGCCAACAAATTGGGTTATATAATGTCTATATGTTTTATTCTGCAGGGTCTCATATTTTTTAAAAACTATAATTTTGGTAATCTTCAGGCCTGAAATGTGCATTTGAATATGAGTGCAAAAACTGTTCTGGCAGTGAAAGGGTTACAGCAATCTCAGAAGTGAAAAAAATAATTTTAAATAAAAATAATGTTCTGATAACGCTTTATTAACTCTTATTTCAGGTCCATCAGCAGAGGGTGGGTACAATGCTAGTTTACTATTGGCTATTGCAAATTGAAATAGCCAATTGGAATCTAGCAATGCATTCCAATGGGAATTTTTTTTTCTTTTCTAATCTGACATCGCTCCGTGTCAGAATAAAGAAAAAAAAAGAAACAGGGACCGAGCAGAACAGCCAAGACGAATGCCGCTCAGCAGCATTCGGCTATTCACTCACTGCTGTTTGGCATCTATAAGAATAGACCGTTTTGTTCACTCGGCTGCCCTCGGCAGCTTAGTGAATAGACCCGTAACTCTCCGTTTAGCTTCTTCCTCCACTTGTTCCTTTAGCTATTTTTTTTACTGTTTTTGTTTTGCAATTGATCCATAAACCTTTTTATTATGTTTTCATGTGTTTTGTTTGTTCCTGTTGTGTACCATTTAAAAAAATACACAACATTTTTAAAAAACACCTTTAATTTTTTTTATTATTTAGCCATTCTTTGTACCGGAAGCTAATTTTAGTGTCATTATAAATGGTACAGGTCACAAAATAAATTACTTTTTATCTGCAGTAACAATAATTGTTTCAAAATTAACACTGATCAAAGTCTTCTTGTCTTTAGATTGCTTAGAAAATAAAGACATTTTTGCCAGACAAAATTGCCAAGTTAAAAAAAACC